TGGCCACGCCCCGAGCCTGTCCCAGGCGACACCCACCCAGGATGCTGGAATGGAGGAAGGGTGGTCTACAGTCTCCCCACTGGGCTTCAGGCGGGAATCTGAGGCGCGGCTGGGGGGGCAGGAGCACTTCCTGGCTGGATGCCCCCAACCCACCTGGAGGGGAGGAGCCGACGGGGCTTTTTACAGAAATACTGCTCCTGACAGCTCTTTTAGGGACTGGATCAAACCCTGATGGTTCATATCAGAATTCAGAAACGAAACTCTTTGCCTTCTGAAGAATAGGGACACAGGACATCTACTGATGTAGGTTGTTCCCTTGAATTCTCTTCACCCTCATTTGTCACCTGTGATGCTGACCAGACAGATCCCCTCATAGTAATAACATTACCACAGAAATTGAGCATGATAAAAAGTATTTGAGGCTGTAGACAGCAGCCCATGTGGAAAGGAAGTTGTTAACTTCATCAGACAGAAATGCACTGTTACAATCACATCCCTGGAGATGCCTCTCCCCGGGCGCTCTCTGCATGGGGAGTAAAAATGCCTCCTTGTTCCCACGGCCAGAGCCATTGCAGGAAGTGAGGATTATAATGTGGAACCTAAAAAGCAACCAGGGTTTTCTTTGAGAGATAAAAAGAGAAAGTGATATCTGTCCAAATTAGGGAAGTCTGTCTTTGGTGTTCCGAGTTAAGTGAATAGAAACCTAAAGGCATTATGAGGGTTTCTTAAGTCTTATCATTTTGAGTTCTTAGAAGGGGTCCGGGAGTGTGGTGGGGAGATATGCAGGAGGGAAGGCACTGGCCTTGCATGTGGCTGTTGTGACTGTGACTCTGGTTTGAATCCCAGCATGACATTTTGGTCCCCTGAGCACCGCCAGGGGTCACTTCTGAGTACATAGCCCCTGCTCACTGCGGAGTATGCTCCCTCATCCACGCACCCCACCAGAAAAAAAATAAATAAATAAAAGAAACATCAGTGTAAAATTGAAGGGTCTTAGGCATTTTGGTGGTGGTGAGGTGTGCTGTGTCCAAGAAAGCCATAAGTGTTGTGCCAGAGCCATAGTACAGTGGGTAGGGCACTTGAGGCCAACCTGGGTTCAATCCCCAGCATCCCATATGGTCCCATGAGCTCTGTCAGAAATGATTCCTGTATGCAGAGCCAAGAGTAAGCTTTGAGCACCACAAGTTGTGGCATCAAACCTAAAAAAATAAACACAAGAAAACCCTAAGTGCTGACACTGTTGTCCAAACATGACCTAGATTATAGTAAAGCAGCAAAGCTGCCTCCTGAGCTCCACCAGGTGTGGCCCCATTGCTCTTGGCCAGAGGGTGTGACGCCTATCATAAAGGAAGAGAAAAAGTCAAAAAAAAAAGTAAAGAAAAGCTCTATGCCCAACCATGAAATGGGGAGTCTAAGGGAAGAAGGGGGCAGACCCCAGCTCACCTGTTCTCACAGTGTTCAGACGTGGTCCTGAGCATTCCCAGTGAGCCAGCCCAGAGCTCCAGCCAGGCTTCTCCCATCTCTCTGCTTTTGGCAGAGCAACTCCAGGGTGCCCCGGATGAGTTGGAGCCAGGATGAGAGCTGCCAGAGAAGGCCAGAGTAGTGCCAGGCACTCCCCTCCTCATTTCCTGCTCTCCACTACCTTCCATTGTGTTTCCTGTGGCTTAGTGTTAAATAACACCCTGACACTCTGGCTAATTGGAACACCCAAGGCTCTCCCAGGCTTCCCCCACAGACAGGCTTCCAGGTTCACAGCCGTCCTCCTCCTGTGCTCACGCGCATGGTCCTGGGAAAGCAGTCTGATCACTCCATCTCACTGCAGACATAGGATGAAAGCGTGGCCTTTTCAGTTCTCTGCTCCATTGGTTTGCATGGCCTTTTACTAAACTCTCTCTCCTGGTCAGTTCTTCTGGGTGTTTAAATAGAAGGGTTTTTTCCTTTCTGATAATCTTGTTTTAAAGGTAAGAACACCTGTACTGTTACTGTCTAATGAGCCTTAGAATCAGCATCCACGACCCTCTCTCTGCTTTCCAGAAAATCCAGGGAAATTTCAGGCTGTTGGTATGTGGAACATTTTCAGTTTGCCTATTCCTAACTGCTCGGAACTGGGATCAGGTAAATGGGTTCTCAGATTCAGCTTGAGTTGAAGCTGCTCTCGCCTAAAAACCATGCAGAGATTTACTTTTCCCCCACTCATTTATTTTTTAGGTTTTGCAGAGCCACACTTGGCTCTGTGCTCTGGGTTCACTCCTGGCAGTGCTTGGGGGACCATTTGGTGCCCAGAATTGAACTGGGGTTGACCATGTGCCAGGCAAACTCTTTAACCCCAGAAAAAAAGAACACCCTTTTCTCTGCCCAAGGAGCCACAGCCAGACATAAAAATTAGCAAGTCACTTGTTCATGCACTATAGTCACACCTATATAAAACCCAGCTCTGTAGCAAATATTACCAAATTCTCATGTATTCAGTCTTTACTCCTCATAATTTGTTGCTCATTTTTATGTTCATGACTTATACCTCAAACCTTAAAGGGAACACCAGTGCCTTGAAGGGGACATGAGGCTCGGGTATGGTCATGGTCTCTCTCAAAACATCACCTGGTCTTTGGAAGAAGAATAGGGATCTTTATTTGTTTTGAGAGATTGTATAGGTGCTTCTGGTGATCAAACTGGAATTGACTGTGGGCCAGACAAGCATCTTAAACCCCCTGCCACCAGACTCTCCAGCACTGTAAAGGGGTCTTTTCAAAACTAGTTTGGTTGTTCGTCATGTTCTCAGAAAGTGTGCAAGCTGCTGCCAAGGCAGGATCCTTTTGAAGAGGGGAGGGGCATTTCCCACTGATTCTTGGGGCCCTGGAGACTACCAGCGGTGACGGCTGAGGCAGGAGGTGCTAGGGGTTAAACGTGGGGCCTCAAGCACTCACACAAACACTCTACCCATCTGAGACAGCTCCCAGCCCCGTAGTCTTTAGAGGAATGTTTCTGCTGCCCTCCTTCCCCAGCAGGTGGAACCTGGTCTCCCCTGCTCCCTGCAGCTGTGCAGTGCATGTCCATCTGGTCTCCATGCTCACTGAGCTGAGAGGGACTCATACAGAAGCAGGAAAAAAAACTCAGGCTAGCGTGGGTCAGTGCAGGAGTCCGCTTCAAATGTACCCATGGTTGATTTCAGAGAAAAGAAGTCAAGGAAAAATCAGGAGCAAAAAGTCATGCTTTTGGAAGAGTTTTTTTGGGGGGTTGTGAGTTCACAAAGTAAATCACGAGGGCTGCTGCTGTGACACACACACTCAGAGCCACCGCCCCACCTCCCCGCCTCCCAAGGCCTACCCAACAGAGAGACAGAGAGACGGGAGACATGGACCACAGTCTGATGGTGAAAATGGCCCGTTTAATGCAGAGCTGCCCTAGAATACTTATGGAACATTTGAGGGGGGGTTGAGGTAAGGACATAGGTGTGATTGGTCATTTACATAGATACACATTTGGCAGTGGACATTCTCTTGGGGAGATCAACTCAAGAAGACACTCTGTCTCCCAGAGACATCTATATTGCTTTTATCTTTCCCTCTAGTTTTATATGTTATTAATACTTGCAGTTGTTTGGATAAACACAGTAAGAGACAAAGATCCCAACACTTAGTTCTCTGGGCTGAGAGCAAGCAAGGCTTTTACCGTAAATCCCAGACTCAGTCCTTAGGTCAGTTCAGCTTGTCCTTTCCCATGGGGGTCCTGTCTCCTAAGTCGTAACAGTTTGCATCAAGACCTTGCTTTCTAGAATGTCCCATTTCAATGCCGGGTAGTTTAGCCACTCTCCCCGGCCAATCCCAGTCCCATTGTGGGACCTCCCTTTTGGGGTGTTAGGAACTACAGCAACTGAAGCCTGAGTCAAGTGATTATGTACAAATAATTATGCCCAGGAGCAGATATATTTCAGAGTCAATCAACTCTCAAATATTAGGAGCATAGCATTAGTGGTCTTTCTGTGTTTAACTAAAGAACATTGCTCTATGATAAATATAGAAAGGCTGTAGGGGAAATAGAAAACAGGTACAAATATACGGCACTTAAAATACAAAGCAGTACAAAAACAAAGTTCAGAATTACCAGAAAGTTTTGGCTTATAAGTAACCAAGACTGACTTGGGGAACTGTGATAATGAGAGGTAAAATACAAAGGAAAGGTTGAAAACAAACTTTAACTGAATTAGGGATGTTAGCAAGGTCATGGTAAGCTTCTCTGGTAGGAGGAAAGGGACAATTCACCAGTGAAGCCTAAAGCACTAAGGGTTGCTATCCAGCAGGGCTATATTTCTCCCCCCTCAGGGTGATCACATTTGTGATGACTGTGGCCTACTGTATCACCTCTTTCACTGTCAGTATCCCAGGACACTCTTCCAGGTCCCTTCTAACCCACTCCCGTCTTCTCCACATACACTTGATGGCCTCAGTTCTGTTCTGCACTTTGCTTTCATTGTACACAGTACATTCTCCCTTGGTTTGTTCCTTTCTTATACTGTGTCATTCCATAGTTATCTTTCTCCTGTTGATTTATTTCACCTAATATGACACCTTCCTCCCCTAGTTCCATCCATGTTGTAGCAAAGACAAGACCCTGTTTTTCCTTACACCTGAGTGAAATTCCATCTGTATCACTAAGGTGGAGTGTGTGTGTGTGTGTGTGTGTGTGTGTGTGTGTGTGTGTGTGTGTGTGTGTGCCTGATGCCTGCATCTCTCTGATTAGAGAGAACACAACCCAAGAAGCACTATTTTTGCTTTTTTGGTTTTTGCCAGTGCCCAGGGCTTACTACTAGCTCTGTGCTCAGAGATCACTCCTTGTGGGGCTCAGAGGTTCCAGGCAACCAGTCCAGGTCAGATACATGCAAGATTATTTCTCCAGTTCTAGAATTCATAGTCCTGTTCCCAGGAAAGGGAGTCCTATTTCCATGTTCCTGAGTGCACCTAGCTTGGAACTTAGAGAAAAGTGTGATATTTTCTTCCCTCTAGGTCCTACTTTCAATGTTTCTGTGCATTCGGACACACCATCGGTCATCCGGGGAGAGCTGATCAAATTATTTTGTATCATCACCATGGAGGGAGCAGCTCTGGATCCAGGTACCTCTGCATCCCTTCTCCTTCCTCCTTGTTGTGTGTCTCATCTCCTCTCCAAGGATGCTAATCCAGTATAACTTGCTTTGTGTACTCTGTACTCAGGTGCTGTTTAGTAAATACTTGTAGAATAGACAGGGCTCTCCAGTGGATGATTCCGAAACATATACAACAAATTGCATTGGAATTGTCAGGTGGGCGGCTCCAGAGCTGTTTCAAACTGGTTTGAAACCCACTAACAGAATGCAGTCCCAGCCCTGTGGTCTCGTAAGCATTCATTCACCCGGCTCCATCAATGGGTGGGTGCTGTTCTAGAAGCCAGAAGGCGGGTGAATTAAAAAAGCCTCAGTCTGTCCTCAGGTCATTTGCAACCCAGAAGGAAATCATCATACAACACAGAGGGGAATAAATGAGAAGCCACTGAGCCTCCAAATGCCATCAGAGTTGAAATTCTGAGTGAATCTTTGTAAATGTTTTGGGGGTATGGTGCTGCCAAAGGTCAGTCTGTACCTGTGAGATGAGTGTATCAACAGCCTGATGAGCCTGATGGCGCCTTCAGACTTCCAGATACCCCAAAATTGCTGTTGTGCCTTTCGCCAGACCCCAAAAACTTGGGGCAAAGTTTATGGTCAAAAGTTGGGTATGTGGGAAACACACCCACAAACCACCTCCGGCTCAGCTATATAATAGGAGGCAAGGCCTCTCTGATTCCTGATCGAACTACTTAACATCCATGATCCCAGAGACTCAGAGACAAATCTCAGAACCCAGCGGCTTTGGGCAGAGATGCATCCGGTCCCCGCAATGTGTTATCAGCGCTGGACCACCCCAGGGGGGAAAGGGTACTGTCCCTCCGCCTGCTCCCCCTTGGTGGCTTGGTGGCCACCATCCTCCAGAGGCCATTGGACAGTCAGGTTTGGGCCCGCAGTGACGGGACACGTAGGGTCTCATGGGATGGAGGTGGAGCCAGCACTTTTCTCCCCACCCCAATGAGACCCCCGAGTTGCCGTCCACAAACGGCCTCTGTGGCTCCTGATCAAGCTGCTTAATGGCCATGATCCAAGAGACTCATAAACAAATCTCGGAACCAAGCCGGTTTTGGCAGAAATTCCTCCAGATTTAATTGTTAAAATTTTGGAATTCCAAAATACTGCAGCTGCGCAACCTCATATGTTATTCATAACCAGCAATAGAAAACAAATTGTCTACTGTTGCCTTTTCGGCAGATCTGAGTGTTGGGGTAAAATTCCAAATAATAATGGTGGATCTGGTGTTGAAATATTGAGTGTAATCAAAGTAGAGAGAGAGTAACATGGAAATCATCTGCCCCACAGGTAGGGGGAGGTCATGGGATGGGGGGAATACTGGGATTTTTGGTGGTGGAAAATGGGCACTGGTGAAGGGATGGGTGTTTCATTGTATAACCAAGACTTAAACCCGAAAGCTTTGTAACTGCTCTCACGGTGATTCAATAAATAAAACTATAAAAAGGGGGAAAAAAAGTAAGGTGGAGTTCATGCCCAATTCAATCAGCTAATCAATGGCTGAATAAATAGCAATAGAGTAATAGCACAGCAGTAGGGCGTTTGCCTTGCACGTGGCCAACCCGACGGACTCGGGTGCAATTTCTCCACCCCTCTCAGAGAGCTTGCAAGCTACTGAGAGCTATGATAGCCTGCAAACTATCTTGCCCGCACGGCAAAGCCTGGCAAGCTGCCCATGACGTATTCGATATTCCAAACACAGTAACAACAAGTTTCACAATGGAGACGTTACAGGGTCCACTCAAGCAAATTGATGAACAACAGGAGGACAGTGACAGTAAAAAAAATTTTTTTAAATAATAAAAAAATCTTTGTAAATATTTTCTCTGTAGAAATAACTAGTATGGCTCACAGATGCCTGGAAGCAGCAGGTTGCCAGTCTCAGGAGGCCTCTACCATGTCACTCTCAGGCCCTCTGAGCAGGAAGGAACATGAGACCCACTTGAGTGGTTTTGAGCAGTGCCATCCCACCTCTCCCTTCTCTGAGGAACCCTGAGGAACCCGGGTGGCTGGTAGGATGGGGGTGAGAGCTTCCTCCACCAGCTGTTAGCTGGGTTAGATACTGCCCATCCTGAGCAGCATTGTGGCCAAGGTTCGTAACCAATTGGAGCTTGGGCCTGGGCAAAGCTGGTGCGCAGAAGCAGAGCCTAGACAAGCTGCTACCGAAAGGTCTGGCCCCAGCGGGGTCAACAGTCAGGGCCCTATTTCAGGACCACCACTGAACATTGTAAAGAGTCCAGGTAAGAAATATTGAGGGTTCCATGTACCAGGAGAGTTCAGTGACACTAGACCATTCTGCGAACGTGTGAAACCATCTGTATATTAGGAGGGGAAACTAGTGGCCAGGCTGGGTCCTGATGAAACTTGATTTGCAAAGACAGCTGGTGGGCAGAGGTGGGCCTGCAGGCCAGTGCTGACTGGCCCTTGCTGTTTGCTATCAACTTCAGCTCTCTCCGGGAGCCTGAATGTGGCCATCCCTGGAGTTGGAGGAAAGGAGACAAGTTTGTTGGGAATTGAAAGAAAAAAAAGAGACGTCCCCTCCAGCAGGTAGCCTGCTCCTGGAGGTGGGAGCAACAAGCAGAGTTCCTCAGTGAGGGGCTGCTCCAGTGTCTGAGGTTTGGAGGGTTGGGGACACCCAGTTCAGAAGTGAAAATAAGGTCTGGAGAGATAGCACAGAGGTTAAGGAGTGCCTGGCTACACCGCAGCTGCCCTGTGTGATCCCAGGCACCACACTTAGTCCCTGAGCCCTACCCAAAGAAAACAGTTAAAATAAAGGTGAAAGTACATGAGGCTTCTGAAGGTTTACCAGAGAAATCCTTTTCAGAAGCACTAGATACCAAAAGGTCAGTTTTCCTCTTCAGATTCATTTATGACGCCTTCCAAAATAAATTTCTCAGTGCCTTTTCTCAGCAAATTAACAGATCACTGATTGTGCCCTTAATATTCAAGTCTTTACCACAAGGGTAATTGCAAAAGCTCTAGGTAGCTGTTGTCCTGCAGATCACAATTTACTAGCACTTTGCTCTCCGAACTGTGCGAGAAGAAGAGTCTGAATAATTAATGCAAGTCATCAGAGCATTTCCCCTCACGGGCTCCACAGGCGCACAAGGAAAGTCCTCTGGGGCTGGGCGGGTCACCCTGGGAGGGAAAGGGTGACTTCTACTGCTGTGCCAGGTGCCAAGAGGACAGGCAGACCATGGTCTGTTGGAGGTGCTGTCCTGGATCCAGACCTCCAGAAGCTCAGCCTGAGACCAGCATGCTGGCAACGCAGTGTTAGAGAGAGAGCAAGAAGAGGGAGTGAGAGAGTCCAAGTGGAGCAGAGACAAGCCAGGCAGGACAGTAGATTGAAATGGGGCCTGGATTGTTGACACTAAGTGTGGGTCCAGGCCCTCATGTCACATGCATCAGTCACATTCCACATACAAGTGACTCTGGAATCGCCAGGAGAAGGTCTTTGTTAACTAAGGCCAGGCCTTGGAACAGGTGGTGCCAGGTGAGTGCTCTGGGGGTTGGAACCAGATGCTCTGGCCAAGAAGTTGTGGGCAGACTCTGCTCCAGGTGCATGCTCGTGGCCAGGGCCCCTGCAAGTCCCCCTTGAGTGGCACAGGTGTGCACAGGACAGTACACGTCTCACAGGCATGTCCGTAGGGTGACTCTATGCTGAGGATTCGTCAGAGAGCTAGAGCAGCTCTCACCTGGCCACAAGGGTGTCCTACAGGCAACCCTTATAGTGCCTGAGGGCTCCTTTTAAAACTTGGTGGGGGGATCAAAATGACAGTCATGCAGAGGAGAGAGCACAGTATTGGAACATGTCCTTCACCTGTGCAAAGCCCTGAGCTCCTTCCAGGCCCCTGTGACACCCCTGCACCTTGAGGAGTGGCTCCCGGCACTGCTGGGTGTGGACTCTGGGGTTGGGTTTGCTTTGGTTGTTGTAGTGTTGGGGATTGAGCCCAGGTCTCATGCATATAAGGTATGAGCTTTGTACCACTGAACTCCATCCCTGGCCCTGGGTATGGATCCTGTCAAATAGGATTTTTTGGTGGTGTGAGGTTCAGTGACTCCCTCATCCCCATGTGATTTAAGAGTTGTATTTTTCAGGTTGCATAGATGTCAATCTGGCGATATGGAGGTTTGTGGCATTCAGCTTACTGGGCATCACTATGTTCCAGGTGCTGTTCTCAGCATTTAGACAGGGAACAAATCTGAGCAGGGTGCTGTTGTCATTTCACTTTACAGAAGAAGAGTCCAAGTCCCTGGGAATTTGGAACATTCATTGGACTGTCACAGCTCATTGGGACTTGCCATCACTTAGGAGAACACAGCTGGACTGGAGGCAGGGTCTTGTCTGGGCACAAGGACTGGAATATAATCATGACTTTTGGCCTTCAGGAGCCCCCTGAACCCAAGGAGATAGAGCCAGTATCTCCTGAGTGTGTTCCCAGGCCCCCGGCCTCAGAATCCAGAGTGCATGTCTCCAGGGAACTGCCCTGTTTGACAGGAAATGGCCAACTGTTTTATTTTATTTTTAAGTGAGAGGAGTAAGCATCGTTGACTGTGACTGGGGTTGGGTTTGCTTTGGTTATTGTAGTGTTGGGGATTGAGCCCAGGTCTCATGCATTTAAGGTATGAGCTTTGTACCAGTCTTTTGAGCACCAAAGTAGGGAGTGATCTTCCTGTCTGTGGACCTGGGTTTAAGATTTTCCTGGACCCTGGACATTTATGTTGTTGTTTTCTCTTTGGGCACAGGGGACCATATAGGATGCTCAGGATTGAACTCATGGTTCAGTGTCTTACCTGCTATCCTATCTCTGACCACCCTGGGCATTTTTAGAGTACACTGAAAAAATCATCTTCTGGCTAATTTGGTGGGAATCTTGCTTTTACTTTTGCACACGCTCTTTTTGACTAGGTGTGCATCTGAATGTCATTGAATTGCCTTAGAAGGTGCTGTTTGAAGTTAAGAGTATCTTTATGCAGACAATATTCTTTATAGCAAAAATTATGTTCTCTAATTTTTTGTGGGGAAGGGAGTGTGAGTCACAGTCAGCGATGCTTACTTCTCTCACAAATGATTCCTGCCTGGCTTTGTGCTCAGGGATCCCTCCTGGCTGTCCCTGAGAGACCGTATGTGGTGCTGGGGTCAGGCAAGATTGACTGAATGTGAAGCCAAGCCCTTAACCCCATACTAATTCAATGAATAGTGAATATTTATATGGTAAGCTTGTCAGGTGAGCCTGCCTTCCCTGCAGTCCTGAATGTCAGGTGAGTTTGAGATAAAATAGTATTTGTGGGCCAGGGAGATAGCACAGAGGGCTGGAGTACAGGCCTTGTATGTGAGGCTATGAACTATAGTCCAGGTACCACATGACTCCCCACATAACCCCAGGTCTGAACCCCAGCACAACCTCATCCCTGGAACCAACCCATCACCCACCACCAGGCCTCCACCACTGGGGAGAATCCTGCCTGACTGGCCATCGTCCGCAGCACCCAAGGGGGAGCTTCTACATATACTCTGCACAGAGCAGTGCATCCATGGAGTGTCTGCAGGTCCTTTCTGGCCTCTTAGAGGATCTCAGACCCAGCACTGCTGGTGTCAGGGGTGACAGATAGGAGATGAGCTTCCAGGTACCACCACTCACCCATCTTCTTTCTAGTGTCCATTTCAAGTCCCTGGAGGCCACTGGGGCCACAGTGCTTTCGAGACCTCTGTGCTCTGTTTGGTTTCCTCAGCTTGCCTGTTTCTCACCCTTCTAGCATTTCCACAGGCAGGGCCAAAAGCCTTAGCACACAGTGGCCACTGCACCGCCCCAGTCCCTCCCACTCTTTCTGATCTCTATGACTGCTGGGGCTTTCCCCAGCTGAGCACTGATGGCTGAAAAATTGGAAGACTGGACAGCAAATGATGGTGCCTGTTCTAGCTGCAGGCCCCCGAGTTCTCCAGAGGGGACATTTGGAGGTTCTTACAGTTTTATCTGGCTGGTTAGGGCAGGGGTATGATGGGGGGGGGGGGGGGGTGGCGAGGGGGCGGGTCTGGACTCACACTGCCACTTCTTAGCAAAGTGACCTCCAACATGGTTTCTGCTGTTTCTGTGGCTCCAAGGAGAGGGTTCAGGGTGCACCCCTTGGAGGCAGCAGGAATGTCACTGTCTGCAGGCGTTGGATGTCACTGTCTGCAGAAGGGGTCCCACAGGCTCTGCCTGTGGCTAATGCCGGCACTTTGGCTTTCTGCCCTACAGATGACATGGCCTTTGATGTGTCCTGGTTTGCCGTGCACTCCTTCGGCCTCGACAAGGCCCCAGTGCTCCTGTCTTCCCTGGATCAGAAGGGGATCGTGACTACGACCCAGAGGGGCTGGAAGAGTGACCTCAGCCTGGAGCGCCTGAGCGATCTGGAGTTCCTTCTGCGCGTGCACAGCTCAGAGGACCAGGACTTTGGCAACTATTACTGTGCTGTGACGCCATGGGTGAAGTCGTCCACGGGTTCCTGGCAGAAGAAGGCAGAGATCCAGGCCAAGCCCATCTTCATAACGGTGAAGATGGACGGTGAGCACCTATGCACTGGTTCATCTCTACCCTGGCAGCCCCACACAAATGCTTTTTAAGACTTCTGGAAAGATTCTAAGTATTTTCCCTCCTTTATAAATGCTGCCAGACCCACTTTGCTGTGCCCGAAGGTTGGCACAGAAGCTGACAGGCTGGGGCAGAGACAGGCTCTGGAGAGCAGGTTTAGTCTGCATGAGAGGCAGTGAGTGGGCTCCTGACACACGGACCCCTGTTAGTTCTGCTGTTCAGTAAGTAGAGAGAGGCTCCTTCCTTCCAGTGTCACTGACGCAGGAGACCGTGGCAGGTCAGGGGCTGGGGAGAGAGGGGCACCCATAGGCCCAGTGGCATCAGAGTTAGCCTTGCCAGGTTACCTAGTATCTAGTGCCCTGAGCACCCCAGGACATGAGTAGTGAGTTGTCTGGTGAACAAGTGACACATCTTCTCTACAAAAGCTACAGCATAAATGTGAATTGAGAAAACCAAAAGCAAACTCTCCAGTGGAAAGCATTCAAGCGCAGGTGCTTTCTATGACTGCCTGACACCTTTGACTGTAGTTCTCTAATGACATGTAGTTTGGGGAAACTGGAACGTGAACCCCAGCTCGACAAGAGGTGTCTTAGCCTTGTTGATCCTTTGTGCCCTGTCTTGTAAAATGGAATAATAATAACATTGTGGAGGGGTGTGGAAATTAAAGTATATGAAACACCACTCCTCCATGGGGCCTGCCAACCCTCCAGCCCATTGGCGCTGGGACAGGGCCCTGAGATCTGGGCGTGAGAGTGAACCGTGTTTGCACATGCCTCCACCCTCCTCATTCCTACTGTGTCTGCCTCAGAGGAGTGCCTGGCTTGAAGAAACTCCATATGAAAATCCAGTTTTTTGCCCCCAACAAGTCAGGGAGTGATTATTCACTTTGCTAGATAATTTACTATAGTGCTACTTAAAATAGCTCCCTAGCACACTTCAGGCTTTTGATGCATAGGATTGATTTATGCAGGATTCTTTTTTTAAGCATCCATCTGCTGTTGGATGTGGGTGCCCTTATACTGACTTTTTAAAATCAATCTTCTGCCAGAGCCCTAAGAAGCAAGTTGATATTCAAAGAGAGTCAGTGAAATCTCTTTCTCTTCCTTGCCCCACCCTCCCCCAGCAGATCTTGTTCATTTGGGGGACAGACGTGGCTAAGCTGTTCTTGCCTTAAGTGGACACAGTGCAAAGGACAGCTGTATGGGCAGTGGGTGATGCACCAGGCTGTGAGGGCGGGGCGGGGATGGTGGTCTTCCCCAAGGCCCACCCTCTGTGACTTACCCTTCTTCCCTGCCTTCCCTGCAGTCCTGAATGCCTTCAAGTACCCACTGCTGATCGGCGTGGGCCTGTCCACAGTCATCGGGCTCCTCTCCTGCCTCATTGGCTACTGCAGCTCTCACTGGTGCTGCAAGAAGGAGGTGCAGGACACTCGGCGTGAGCGCCGCCGCCTCATGTCCATGGAGATGGACTAGGCCAGTGATGGGGACCATGCAAAGGGACAGGCGAGAAGGGGACCTCAATGACTGACTGCAGTGTGTGACACTGAGGCCAGTCCACTCTAATCTCAGGTGGGCTGTGATCCCTCCCCGCAGCACGCCAAGCTGGCCGCGGGACCTGTTTACCAGCCCCCAGCCTGCTCCTCATGGTACTTTACACTCCAGCCAGCAGTGTGTGCGAGGCCTGACGGCGGCTTTCAAAATACTAAATGTTTGTCTCATGTTTTTCTCCTTCTGGTTTTGGGGATTCTCTGACTTGTGTGTGGTTTTCCCTTTCATTGGGAGGGGCTGTGGTGAGGTGACATTCAGAGTTCTGAGTCTTGAGTGGGCATGGAGGTACCCGTGGGGGAGCTGTGCGGGTGGGGTCTGCACCCCCGCCCAGGCCAGCACAGACTTGAACTGAGGCTCTGGCCTTCTTTGCTTTGACTCGCCGGCCCACCCCTCTTCATTGGGGTTTCGATGACCCTGGAAATCTCACCTTGAAGCATGGCTGTACTCAGTGAGCTCGAATATATTCTTCCTTTTTCTCTTTGGCTTCCCCTCCCCTTTCCCACTTCTTTTGTATTTGTTTTCTGCGAGAGTGCGGAAGCCACCGGCCTGGAATCTGGAGTTTGGCTCTCCACCAAGCACCTTATCTCGCCACCTTCGCCTTAAGAGTGAATCTGAAGACAAATATGACCACCCCCCGACCCCCGCTCCCGCCCCTTCTATCCAGATTGGAAAGGAGGCCTGCTGGGAGGAGGAGGCGGGCACAGAAGAAGAATCCTGGGAGCTGGCTTTGCAGGAGAGAAGGATCTGATACGCTACGTCCTTCACGGGCTGCTGGGGTTCCTTCACGCAAAGGCTAAATTGCTGTTTGCAAGATTGACAGACTTCACAAGACCAGAAATTGCCTAGAATAACCATGCATTTTCCATGACCTTTGCTGTCCTTCAAGTCTTTGACGAGCCCCTGCAGGGGTGAGTGAGGAAAGGTACATTTTGCCATGTGTTTGCATTCTCAGTAGGAACACAGAAAGCAAACCGGCAATTTATGGTCCTGTAAAATGGCCACAAAGGACATGAGGGAGCAGTCTGTTTGCCCTTCTGTATCTGCCCTGGGGGAAGAAGAGGAGGAAAGCTGCTCCTCTCCAGCTCCCACTCCCTGGAGGGTCTCCCCTCTTTTTTTCCCTGCCCAACTCTGACCTTTAAGAAGCTGCCTGGGTGCCCATAGCTTCCAGGCTAACGCCCTCTCTCCTGGCAATGCACCCTGCTTTGATCCTGTCTGCCAGGGATCTGACACCGCTCTGTCTTCCCAAGAGGGAAAAACATGCGTTTGTTCTGAGCAATAAAGTCCTACAAAATGATGGCCATTCATGTGCGGCTCTTTGTCCACTGGGCTAGCCAGCTGCACCCCTCCCAGCTCCCTTCCCACTCCCTGGCCTCCCCTCACTCTTGCCCCCCATTCACTCTCTCTGAGCGCCACCCCACCCCACCCCCGGGAGGCAATTCGCTACCAAGTCTTCCTTTTTATTTATTTTGTGCCCAGAGGAGACCTCTTAGGTCTTAGAAACCAGCTTTTTTGCTCTTGGTCGCAGCCCAGGTGGATACTGGGTGCAGCATGAGCGGGCAGAAAGATGGGTGGCGAGTTTGCCCCCCAAAGTGTGAGCAGTTAGAGGAGGAAGGGAGCGCTCTGAGCACCCTGGACCTGGGTGTCGGCCACCCAGGAGGGAGTGGAAGTGAGCATGTGAGACAGGTGCTGTGTTCGTGACGGTTCTCTGAACCCTGGCAGTCATGTTTATGAGAAGATTCAAGATGATTGTTACCAGGGGTCCTTCTTACCTAACATGAAGGGGGCTATGCGTTGTTCAAGACCAGGTGGACTGGAGTGTGTATTAAAACACAGGAGGTTCTCAGCAGGTGCCCTGCGTGGTTGAGGGGACCTCCACACTCTGCAGTGGAGGCCTTAACCCAAGCCTCACTCTCTTCCACTGGGGAGGCACCATGTCAGGGGCAATCCCAGAGCGCAAACCGAGGACCTCATTCCTGCCTGGGGTTTGAGGCCTTGGGAATACCCCTTTTGCTGTACCAAATAGGAGCACCTCATATAAAGTGCTCTTCTTGGAAGTGTTTCTCACCCAGAACAAGGGTGTGACCAGGGGCAGGACCAGCCTTGATGCACACGACAGACTGATTTTGCACTTCTGAACAGAAAGAAACTTGACGCAAAGTGTTGGGTCTCCACCTCAATCTTGGAGGAGGCAGCAGGAGGGAAGGTCCCATGAAAGAACCTGAACTAGACTCAGCTGGAAACTTCAAAATTGTTTCAAAGTGTTTACTTTCTAATGTTTACATACACTATTCACTTTTGAGGAGAAAAAGAAAAACCTGCCTACTCTGACTTTTCAACAACTTTTCCAATTTTTTCACAAGATGGAAAAACTCTGAGTCACCAACTGGATTGAAGTCCTAATTTCGAATTTGGGGGTGGGTGCTTCCCTCCCCACCCCGCTTTCCCCTGGGATCCTGGCAGAGGAGCTCCCTCCGCTCTCGCTTCTCACTTTGCAGACTATCTGCAGCCATGATCTTGTCACTGACATCGTGCGCCAAAGACTGAGCCTTTTGGGCAGAAATAATAAGCAATACTTCACAACTTGCAACTTTTAGAAAACTTTTTTTTCCTAGCTTCACCGATGACAACAGAGGAAGAAGGGAACTGGGATTTGGGTAAGTTCTTCTCCACTGTTTGACCAAATTCTCAGTGATAAATATTATGTGCAGATCACTAGGAGAAAAAAAGTTGACTTTTCTTTTTTTAGCGTGGCACATAAGGATCTGCCGAATTTTATGTAGACAAAGAAAGGGTCTTGTGTATTTTTGTCCATATCTGATGTTATACAAACTAATTGTATTGTTTTATACTGTGACCACAGATATTATGCAATGCACCATTTTTTTTAATTTCATTAAAGGAAGATTAATTTAAATTGAAGTTGTGTGAGGAATTTGATATGGGCCTCTATTCTCCATTTGTCTCTTCTGCATGAGGGATGGGGGCTGAAATCCAGTTGCAACTTTTGTTCCTTCTGGTCTCTTTGACTAGTGTTGTCACTTTTCACACTAGAAGTAGATTGATCAGGAACAATATTGAGGTTCTCAGTAAGTTAGAAGGTGAAGGTTGGGATCCTGTTGTTTGTGGAGGTCTTCAGTCTGACAGTGTATTCTCATGACCTTCTTGTCTCCTGTCATGAAAGGGAGAAGTCAGTATGCTCCTTTCTGCAGATGCAGAAACAAGGCCCCAAGTTGTGTGGCCTGACCATACCATGACAGGAACTGGTGACATTTCATACTCATCCCCTGGAAGTGGTCTGGAGCCAGATGAGTCCAGAAGATCCTTGAGAAAACCACTTCTTTTCCAGCCCTCTGGCTTCAGTAACTTGAGCAGGAGGAGGTGTGGTGAACCCCAGCTTCCTGCAGCCCCCGAGCAGCCAGTCAACCAGGGATGGCCTCCCATTACCATCTTGTGTGGGTGACTTGTTTGCATACTCGTGTGGGGTCAGGGTGGATACTGATTCCCAGCCTTGCCCAGGTAGGGGCTGGCTCTGTGTGGAAATGCAATCATGGCGCGGCTGTGGGACATTTTGCATCACTGCCTGCTTCTGCAGAACTGGGGCCTCAGCTCAGTCCCGAATGCTGAGCCAGGCAGAGCTGGGCTTAGCCACTCCCTGTCTCTAACCCAACCAGTCCTGCCTCCATTTAAATGAACACATTTAAATGAGTTGGCCTGTGTGTTGGGTGCCTTACAGAATCACAGCCACTCACCGCCCTGCCCCCCAGGCCTTAAATCAGATCTTTCTGTGGGTCCCTAGCCATCAGGGCCCAGAAGGACGTCTCTGGGCATCTGCTCCATGAAGACTTTCTCTTTGGTTGTAGCCAGCTGGCAGAGGTGCATGGACAGGGGCTGCACATGTGTGACAACAGCAAACACTAGGATTCTTTTTTTTTAATTTACTTAATTACATTTAGGAACCATGATGTACAAAGTTATTCATACTTGGGTTTCAAGTACACAGTTTTTCAACATCCATCCCAATACCAGCACCATCTTCCCTCCACCAGTGTCCCCATGTAACCTCCCACCCCCCAGCCATTGGTTTTTGGTTTCATTTGGGGACACACCTGGCAGTGGTCAGTCTTGCACCTGGCTCTTCACTCAGGGATGATTCCTGGCAATGACAGGCACATTTTTAACTTTGGTTTGTATAGTTTAGATCTCACATTTTCAGTTCCATTAATTCTGTGGTTCAGCTATATCTAAACAACACATCCTCACCACCTGTGTGTCCAAGGCCCCTGGCCCTATCCCTGTTACCTCCATCTGTCTTTTCTTCCTTCCCCCGTAGTTTCTTTCCTTCCCTTTCCTCAGTTCTATAACCCAGGTTCCAGGTTAATCTAGGTATTCCCCCTTTGAGGCCTTGCTTTCCCTGCTATTCTTTATACCACAGATAAGTAATATCAGATAAATTTATCTGATATTTATCTTTCTTCTGACTTACTTCAGGGCTGGCACGATAGCACAGTGGGCCTTGCACGAGGCTGACCCGAGTTCAATTCCTCCATCCCTCTCGGAGAGCCCGGCGAGCTATTCCAGGGGTATTCCACCCACATGGCAGAGCCTGGCAACCTCGCCGTAGCATCTCATGATCACAATCACGATCATCCTGTTGTTCGTCTATTGCCTCGAGCAGACACCAGTAACGTCTCCTTCATCCTAGCCCATAGATTTTAAAAAGTGCCATATTCAAGGCTCTTTCAGGGATAGGAGAATGAGACCCATCATTGTTACTGGTATTTGGCATATTGGGTACATCACAGGGAGTTTGCCAGACTCTGCCGTGTGGACAGGTTACATTCGGTAGCCTGCCAGGTTGTCCAAAGTAGCTTACTCAATATGCCAAAAACAGTAACAACATTTGATCATTGTATAACTGAAACTGAAGCACAAAAGTTTGTAAATCTACAACTGTACCTCATGGTGTTTCACAAAGAAAGAAAGAAAGAAAGAAAGAAAGAAAGAAAGAAAGAAAGAAAGAAAGAAAACAGTAACAAGTCTCACAATGGAGACATTACTGGTGCCCGCTCGAGTAAAATCTATGATCAAGAGAGGACAGTGCTACAGTGGACAGTGCTGACTTACTTC